GCTATCGTTGGCGTGGGTCGGTAGGAGATTGTCGCTCCTTCTGGAACACGTGCGTAGATACCGACCATGCACTGGTCCGCGCTCGGGTGTGCTTACGACTGAACGGACGTAGGAAACAGCTGGCGGTAAAACCATCACGTCCCCAGCTCGATCAGGAAACTAAATCCGTATTTCAGGAAGAACTAGCTAAACACATATCTGTGTTCGACAGCTGTGCTCACCCTGAAGAAGCTTGGAAAAATATCCAGGCAGCCATAGATACAGCTGTAAAAGCTGTGAATAAGGTAAACCCAAAGGTGAGTAAAAACCACTGGATCTCCACCGCCTCATCCGAACTGATAGATGCTAGAAGACTTATTCCGGCGAGCTCCGAATTCAATGAGGAGCGAAAGCTGCACAAGAGGAAACTTACGAAAAGTCTCCGCAAGGACCGTGAACAGTGGTGGGCGACAAAAGCCAAAGAGATGGAGAAAGCTTTGAGGATAGGCAACACCAGGCAACTCTTTGGACTCATCAGGGAAACGGGTGGGAGAAGACAAATCATTAGTGAGACAATCTCGGAAAAAAATGGCACTATAATTAGCTCCAGGATAGACGACTGGATCGTTGGAAAGAGCATTATGAGGAGCAGTTTAATTTGCCCACAGCCACGCTCAACCTTCCGAGCATCCAACACCTCCCTGAATGGGATATAGATACAGGTCCTCCGTCACTAACTGAGGTTACTAAAGCTGTCACCAATCTGAAACTAGGCAAAGCAGCGGGACCTGATGGAATGACGCCAGAGGTATTTAAGTACGGTGGAGACAGCTTACTGTCCGGATTAACTGAGGTACTAGGCAGCGTCTGGGAATCAGAAGAAGTCCCATCGGGTTGGTGTAAGTCACTGATTATCCCCATATACAAGAAGGGAGACAAGTCTTCCTGTGATAATCACAGAGGGATTAGCTTGACTAATATAGTATCTAAAGTCTTAGGCTCAATAATCATGCGTAGACTGAGTGGTGCTCGGGAAGCACAAACACGAGAGAGCCAGGCAGGCTTTAGACCAGGAAGAGGGTGTATTGATCATATCTTCACCCTCCGACAGATTCTAGAACATAGGCATTCCTACCGGCGTCCAACAGTCATTATATTTCTTGACCTAAAGGCAGCATTCGACTCTGTCGATCGGGAAGTTCTCTGGAGATGCTTGGCTGTAAAGGGAATTCCAAGAAAATATATTGCACTGATTAAGGCACTCTATTCGTACTCATACAGCCAGGTGAGGGCTTACGGCGAGCTGTCATCTGAACTGATGACGACCAGTGGTGTCCGTCAAGGATGCCCATTATCTCCTTTTCTATTCAACTTCATCATAGATGTGTTAATGGACTTAACCCTAGGTGACTTCAGCGATTCAGGGATTGACTTGCTACCTGGGAATAATCTCGTTGACTTGGAATATGCAGACGATATAGTCCTTCTAGGCGAAGACGCTGACGAAATGCAGAGTCTTCTAAACACCTTGAACAGCAATCTACGAATGTTTGGCATGCGATTCGCTCCCGCCAAATGCAAGATGATGTTACAGGACTGGACTACATCGACGCCTAGTTTAAAAATAGGAAGTGAAGTGGTAGAGCACGTTGACCGCTTCACTTATTTGGGAAGTACCATCAGCCCCAACGGGCTGATCTCTGACGAAATCTCAGCACGAATACAAGGGGCTCGTTTCGCATTTGTTAGTTTACGCCGACTCTGGCGTAGACGAGATGTTCGACTATCGACCAAAGGGCGGGTGTACTGCTCATCAGTCCGCTCCGTCCTCCTTTATGGTTGTGAGACCTGGCCACTGAGAGTGGAAGACATGAAAAGACTAGCTGTCTTTGATCATAGGTGCCTGCGTTCTATTTCCCGTGTAAAGTGGCATAATAAGGTGAGCAACATGGAGGTTAGGCGTAGAGTTCTAGGTAAACAGGGGAAATCAATCGACGAAGTCGTGAAGCTACAAAGACTGAGATGGTTAGGACATGTGTTACGTATGCCAAGCCATCGCCTCCCTCGACGAGCAATGTTAGCGGATATAGGGTCAGGCTGGAAAAAAGCTAGCGGCGGTCAAACAAAAACTTGGCATCAGTCAATGAAATCCACAACAGTTGGTCTAAGCCACGTAGGAAGGTGTAGACTTCCAGGCTGGGGTCCTCGGGACGGTAAAAATCTATGGTTGGAAACAATTGGTGACATGGCTCAAAATCGTTCTCAGTGGCGCAGATGCATCCACTCCCTGTGACTTATGATCTTCAATGAAACTGTTTTGTATTTCTTTATTACTCCTTTGTCTCACACCTCTGCTCACTGTTTCTATTATGCTTTTCTTGTACTTTCTTCTCTTGCTTCGCGTGCTACACGGAATGTGGCGACTTGAACTTCCGCACATTTGTGCAAAGTTCTATGTCGAAAACAGAGAGACAGAGAGACTTAGCCATAGATACTAGAAAGTGTATGGTGCAGTCCTATATTAACTACAATAGCGCAAATGTATTCGCATTCTTTATCAGCTTTACGGACTCTAGTGTAGAAGTGTCGTCGATCTAGGTCATTTGTTTAAACCATGTTCTATTTAACTGCCTTCGGAGATAACAGAGCTTCAACATTCCCGAAAATATATAATTCCTTACAGAATAAATGGAGACATAAATGATAGCTGAGACATACACAATCTTACAACAAACATTTTCTTTCTGTATGTGTCTTGCCTACATCAAAGTCCCCATCCCAAATATGAAACAATTCAGTGAAAATTTAAGTCCAATTCTACATCATAACCTGTCGAACGATATGATACACCCTTCTTTTAATATTGGTTGGTTGGTTATAAAGTCATTTACCCAGTAATGGGTGATACGCCACATTTGTTGTATAAGGCCTCTTGACTACTACTTAGCTCCGGTTGAAGTAGATGGAGCAAAACTCGAACCCGAAACCCAGTGACTGAAATTTAAGTGCTTATGCCAATGAATGCTATATCTAATTTATTTACCATCAGTATGTTACTATTGCTACTTACACATCTGAATTGTTTTGTTTTTTTCTTTTCATCTTAACATTCGTCTATCACCATCCTCACCTGTTCGTCATTGTTTGAGATCTGAGATTATCTGCGTTATTTTGAATCGTTAAAAAGTTGTTTTCAGTAGGCTTTAAGTGAATCATCAACGTAGAATGTTACAATAAATTGTACCAGTTCAAGTTGCCATATTTCGGAAACAACGCTTATGCAAGGACCGTGAGGAATAATGGTCAAAATGCATGACAGAGAGTAGTTACACTTGACAATAATCTTAAGTTATTTCAGCTCATCTGAGCCAGAGGTTGCAAGAAGTACGCCCATAGTAAGACGGCCTGTGAGACAAGTGGTAAGTCGACTAACACCCTGAGATGTCTGAAAAGGCAAGTAGAGCAGTCCAGCTGGTTTGCTGAGCCAGTATTTTCTGTTCTAACATAAAGTGCTTTTATGGCACGTCAAAACCGATCCGAAATGAAATTCAGGCAATGAACTTCAATAAGACAACCAGGGTTTTTTCTAAAGATGGAAGTCATGGAATGAACTGAATTGTTAGAGAAAGTATGAAAGATTGAAAGGTTCATCAATTCGAAAGGCAGTCATCGCTGTGTTTATTTTTTGAAACGTCCTAGGTAGTTTACGCGACAATTAGCCAATCTATCTTTTACCAATAGTATCACTCAGTACTGTTGTACTTTGCTGACTTCGCAAAATATTTGAAAACTTGTTTAAGAAGAGCATACTGGTTTCCCCATTTTCAATGTGTGAACTCACTTCAGCCACCTAGAACTTATCCGGAGCAGATCTCCCACGTACTACCAACCACATCTATTGTATGAAGGTTGAAGATACTCTGTAGTTACCTAAACTAAAATAGATGGAAAGTGACTCGGCTGTTAGAAAGCTGTCACGCATATCGCAGATCACCAATCTTCTATTAGGTGAATAAAACTGCACTCTGAAACTTTCCGTTAGAGAGAGGTCTCATTGGGAATTTCATCAACATTCTGAAAAAGCATACAAAAACACCTTAGGTAGAGCAGGAGCAGAAGACCAGCTAGAAGCTCTGCTTTCAGCCAGCTGTAATGTTAAGCAAGGCTGCTCCATTTCATTACGTTTCTCACAAAAATATCGACCACATACAGTTCACTCAATTAGCTTTTAGTCACTTGATCAGTCAGGAAAAGTTCTGTTGAAAGACTGACAGGAGCTTGTACTTGAACCCATCGCAGATGGACCGTGTATAGTCAGTAAGTCCATTATCAGTCGACTCCCAAAGTGCTGAGTTCGATATGCTGTGGGGTTATGAGTGCGTACTGCTGGAGTCTCAAACTAGGCCTAAAACCAGTACAGCATTTCTTGATTTCCAACAGTTTTCCAACTCATATCAGTTTGTGATCTAATTTATCAACATTAATTTTTCAGATTGCATCAGTTCAAGTTGACACGATAAAAGCATGCATAAAAGCTTTAGAAATGTAATTAAAACGATGCGCCAGGAAAGCATAATTCAAGAAATGGAGAGAATTTTCAGAATATAGAATACATATGCACCATTATGGATGATTTGAGTTACGCATCTAACTAAATTCAGCTTCAACCAACACAGGTTGTAAAGGAAGACCTCCATACATTACAATACATCACCATTTTTATCACCTTGAATTTGTAGTCTCCTACTATTTGTCCTCCTGATATACGCTTACGATAACCTAAATGTACACACAGATAACTAGGCTCACTACCTTATACTCCAGGACGAATGAAATGAAAAAGGGTCAGTTAGTACCTACGCACTTGAGACAGGCTTTGTGGTGAAAATTATGGAAGTTGCATTACAAAATTCAAAGATGACAGCAATGGATAATGAGAACTTTAAGAGTGACAAGCATGAATCTGAAGAGTTCCTAACCAATGACCACCACCACATACGGGTAAAATAGAAGTAACTTACACCGAGCAGGATCACGCCGAACACCTCGCGAATTTTGGGTGTTGTGGGACTCGGGATTTCGTTGAAAAATGTCTACATTCTTTGGCAAGTGAATAAGTCCACCGTGCTTTTCCGCTGTATTGGATGACTTGGTTTGCTCCATTACACTGCTGTTAGTCGGTCCCGCTTTTGGTACATCTGAAGTTGATATATGCTCTCGCTTTGACTGTGCATGCAAATGTCCACTGTATGAAGCCGTTCTACTTTCACCATGATAAGGTGACGGTTTTGTCGTAGAACTTGGGTAGGCATTTGTAGGACTCTCTTTAGTTTCTGTTGTGAACCTTTCGCTCTTAGAATGATTTCTGTTTTCCCGTTGATGCTCAGAGCCGTAATACTTCCTCCCACTATTTGCGGGTCTCCTACCTGAATGATCAGGATTTAAAGAAGCATTTCTATCCTTAGTGTAGTTAGATGTCTGTGTTGAGGGAACAGCAGTGTTTCTATAATTTCCAGAATTGTTAAATTTTTCGTAATCTCCGTCAGGTGCGTTGTACCGAGGATGACGATAAAAGTCCCGATCTGGTTTTTTGTTTTTCGTGTAGCTTGACATCAAAATCTAGTGGCCACAAGATGTCCCAGTAGCACATCAAATAAATATCGCGCTCCCGAGAGCCTTTCAATATACAGTTTCAGAATAGACCTTGAGCTTTTAATATGCTTGTTAATAGTTAGCTCAGGACAAATTCATCAGTCCACGAACACTTATGGATTAATCTAGCTCCTAAGAGAATATCTGAAGTGGGATTGTGAAAAACATTACAAGAAGAGAGTGTATTAGGATATTAGATTTTGGCTGAGTATAGAAGGTGGCAAGCCTATATGAACCATTCAACAATAAACACCTGAACTTTTCTAATACCCAATTTAATAACTGCAGTGAGGAGAATACCGCTTCCTTTGGTAGTCTGTAAATCAAAAATCAAAAAAAAAATTTCACGACTCGGTGAGCGAAACAGTAGTTATTCTTTTCAATTTCTTTTATTACAGCTTGATTCCACACCGTATTTTTTGGTACATATATGGAATTTTTCAGCGTATGATATCGGTAGCCCAAATTTTGCATGCCGACCACAGATATCAGGTATTCGTCGGCAGGGGAACGAACCCCGAACCATTTTCATAGTCGGCGAGAGTCCTAACCACTGTGCCACCGACTAACAGTTATATACTTCCTACATAATTGTTAAACTCCCTGACTAACTCCTCTAAGGTATCCCGACTCGGTGGAATGGAAAGAGATGATGGATTAGTCCTGACTGCAGTGCAGACGACTTCTTAATAGAGAAGCTAGGCTCCTGGACTTCCAAATGTCGAAGTCTCGTAGTCGGTGAATTCAACGCCCCAACAGTTGACTGGTCGAGCCTAACAACTCCATCTTCAGTCAACTCCTTTGATCATAAACTGCTAGAATCTAGTATATCGCTAGCTCTAGTCCAACATATCATTAAGCCCACGCGCTATGACTCACAGCACTCCTCGTCAACTCTGGACCTAGTGTTCTCACACGGTGAGGATGTGGATCTCATACAACATCTTCCTCCGTTAGGAAGAAGTGACCATGCTGTGCTCACTTTCAAATTCACAGCAACGGCAGCAAAGGCCAAAACCCCAGCTCGACCAAACGTTTGGAAAGCTGACATAAATGCGATCGTCTCAGCAGCCAACTCAGTAAACTGGTACATCAATCCAGAGTCCCGAGTAGAAGTCGCATGGAACCAATTTAAGCAACTTTACGCCCAAGTAACTGTACCCTTCATCCCTTGGTCTGTTCCAAAGGGTCGGAAACATTCCCCCCCTTGGATAAACCAAGAGATTCGTAAGTTACTCAGACGTAAACGCAAATGTTGGAACCTGTTTGCAAAACTTGAGACTTCTGAGACCAGGGAATTATATACTACTGCTAGAAATAAAGCTATCGCAGAAATCCGCCAATCAGGGATGAAGTTCGAGACACACCTGGCCCAAAATGCAAAGGCACAACCTAAGAAAATTTTCTCGTACATGAACTTAAAGAATAAAACACCCAATGGTGTCCCAAACCTGATTATTGACAAAGATACAATCGAAGAAGATCAAGAAAAAGCAGAAGCAATGGCAAACTACTTCTCCCAAGTCTTCACTCAGGAGTCATCACTGCCTATAGGATCAGCTCTGGCTGCATCAGAAGAACATGGGATAGATTCCGTTGACATCGACCAAGGCATCGTGCTCAACTTCTTAATGAAACTAGATGCAGGAAAATCAATGGGTCCTGACAGTCTTCATCCAAGGCTTCTCAAGGAGCTATCAGCCCACATAGCCGGCCCCTTGACCACGATCTTCAGGCTATCTCTCCTAAATGGAGTGTTGCCACGTGATTGGAAAGACGCCATAGTAACCCCCATACACAAAGGAGGATCAAGACAAAGCCCTTCAAATTATAGGCCTATCAGTCTCACCAGCACTTTAATCAAGACACTGGAATGAATTATCAAGAAAAGCATCATGGCTTATCTGGAAAATAGCAACTTGTTATCTGGAGCACAGCATGGCTTCCGGAGGAACCTCTCATGTCTGTCGAATCTCCTGACTGCAAGAGAAAGCTGGGTCAAATCAAAGGACAACAGAAGACCCGTTGACGTCGTCTTCATAGACTTCAGTAAAGCCTTTGATAAAGTACCTCACAAAAGACTACTCATGAAATTGGAAAGTCTTGGTATCAAAGGCAGACTACTAGACTGGCTCAGGGAATTCCTCATAGATAGGAGGCAGAGGGTTAGGATCAACTCAAAACTCTCCTCCTGGACAGCAGTAAGTAGCGGAGTGCCACAAGGCACGGTTCTCGGTCTTCTCCTTTTTATTCTGTATATCAGTGAGTTACCTCTGCTCACCGACTCCCCTATGGTCCTATACGCAGATGACTTAAAAATTTGGAGAGAGCTGAAGAGCAACAGTGATACGCTCACGTTGCAAGAGGACCTCAACAAATTGTCGGAGTGGTCTGTTGAATGGATGCTCCCGATCAATGTGGCAAAATGTGCAACCATGCGCATTGGACAACCAAGCACGAGCTCCTACGAACTAGAGGGAATAACACTTCCATCAGTTCAGACTCACTTGGACTTAGGTGTCATAGTTAGCCACGACTTAAAAACTACAGCACACTGTCGTGCGGTGGCTGCACGTAGTTTCAGGTCCTTATGGGCGATTCGCAGAGCCTTTACAAGAATTACCAGAGATATGTTTACCTCCTTATACACATCTCTGGTTAGGTCAAGACTGGAAAACTGCATCCAGGCCGCCAGTCCGTGTCTAAAAGGGGATTCACACATTCTAGAAAGTGTTCAAAGGAAGGCAACACGTATGGTTCACGGCATAGCTAACTTATCATACGAGGAAAGACTAGATAGTTTAAATCTCTTCTCACTGTCATACCGTAGGCAGAGAGGAGATTTAATCACAATGTTTAAAATTTTAAATAATGACTACGGACCTGACCTATTCTCTCTTTTCCTTCCCACCAGGTCGGAACACCTTAGAGGACATAGCAGGAAAGTTCAAAAGCCAAGGAGAAATCATATTGCTGTTGAGTACTGGTTCTCACATCGAGTCATAAACTCTTGGAACCGACTCCCAGAAGAAGTGGTGTCTGCAACCTCAACTGATTTGTTCAAAAAGGGTTTGGACAACCATAGAAATCTACTAGAAAAGGATTAACATAGGCTCCAAGCCTTCTATCCTCAACCAATAAATCTGAATCAGGTTCATTAGCATTTCTTAAGATTTTCAAGAAATTTATTAGAAATCCCTGTCTGTGATACAATAAGAATTAGCGGTTTGGACTGTCAGGTTGTCCACGTATGATGTATTGGTCATACCAGTTGTACGTGTGGACTTCTTTAGAAGACTTTTCAGAAGACACGTCTCCACTGGGATAACAGCTGATTGTCTGGATTCTGTTTTCGAGTTGCAACCTCAACGGAAATGCATATAAGGTGGTGAACATTCCATAAGTGATCCTAAAAAAGGGGCTCTGCGAATCGCCCAAGAATATTTGAGGCTTTAAGACGCCATTTCGTGACGGTATGCCATAGGTCTTATATTACTATCTAAAATAGGAAGAACTGTTTTCCCTTTATCTACTATGCATCGAAACCTGTGTGCTCAATGCCCATCGACGCACACTTCGCTTTGGTGGACCAGTCTAACAGACTATCAAGATCTATTTACACCTATGCTACGAATCTTCTCCGTTATTTCTTCACGCCGCAAGCATGTTTCTATCATCCTGAGGCTCTCTGCGAAACCTTGTGTTGTATTGGGAGAGACCAATAGGAAACTGGGTGGGCCATGTGAGTTCAATGATATCTAGGGTTAAACAGAAGGGATCCAGGACTTCTCTTTGACGCACTCCACTACGTTTCGTTATTCATGAATACGCTTTTGAGTTGACATTGACTCTCTCTATTTATCCGGCTTATGAACAATTCCTCAGTGTTATCGTGCGGAAGTGGGACTAATGGTAATGGGACTCTAATACATACGCAGCGAACGTTTGACTAATTTACTGATTTTTATTCTCTATAATCTTCCCTAAGTTGTGTTGGTATAAATAACTCTGGAAATAATTATATTAGCAACCCCACCTTATAACATTTTTCATATGTATATGCAGTTAATAATACAATGCTATTTTTTGTGTCGAAGTGACTTTACTCAGTCAATAACTACTTTTTCTCATATACTTTTCTAAAAAGTACAATTTTTATAATATTTCGCAGTATTTTTAACATTATATAAGTTTAAGGGTTACTTCGCAATGAGTACAGCGTACCGTATGAAAATCGGTCTTGCAAATTTAGCATAACAAGGTCTGTTAACCAGCTGTTTTCTTCGGGATCATTCTACATAATTTTATCAATGATTGTTGCACTACCGGTTTCACTCTGCTAAATAGGTTATAACTTATTTGTAATACTAGCTACTTCTATACCATGTACTTCTTAAATTAAACGCAATTTCCTGGGCGTTTATAAAAATACTTGCATACATGTATAAAGGTGATACTGCTAAGAATGTCCTCAGGTATCGATGTATCTGGTGACCTAATGGGAAGCGCTTGTCGCGAAAGCTATTAATGTACAGCATACTGCAAGATTGGGACGGGCTCAAAGCATTACAGTGCTGCGGCTAAAATTGTTGCCAGAAAAATCTCAGGGCTTAACATTATAAATTAGATTTAAACCAATATCTTGTAATCTATTCTCATAAAGTTTCTAGAGGTGTTTTTTCCCATTTTTTCAATTTTTAATGTCACAAAACAGTGTTCCATTTCAAATTGCGCTTGTCAAATATGATCATGCCTGTACAAACGGTATGTCAATCATGTAAATGCTTAATTTATGTGAAATATATATACATATATATAAAAAGGAGGGAGGGTGGCGCATGCCGATCAGCAGATGTTTTAGTGGTCACAAATGTGAACTACTCTTATCTGTAGGACAGCGACATGCATTTTTTGACAGCTCGAGAATTAAACATTAGTCTGGAACCTCAACAAAAAACAGA